GGTTCCGATGGCGTGACTTGTAGGAAGCACGTGCAGGGATTCCGATGGCGTGACTTGTAGGAAGCGCGTGCAGGGATTCCGATGGCGTGACTTGTAGGAAGCGCGTGCAGGGATTCCGATGGCGTGACTTGTAGGAAACGCGTGCAGGGATTCCGATGGCGTGACTTGTAGGAAACGCGTGCAGGGATTCCGATGGCGTGACTTGTAGTGACATTAAATTTTAATATTGAAGGTTATGTAGGGATGATCTGTCTATAGCTGTATCATCCCTACATCATTTTACATTTGCAAAATATTTTTATTGTTTTGTAACGTTTTTCCTCTGACTGAAAGTTAGTGCATTCTATGAATGTGTGTAATAAAATTTAATATTATGTGAATTATTATTATTTTTACTCCTTCACTTCATACATAATATAGGCGTTGGCTCCCTAAAGACACCGATTTTATAGTTTACAGAGCATTGAGTATTCTACATGTTAAGGTCATTTAATGTTCATCTATTATTGGCTGGTAATTCCTGTTTCACTCTGTACTTTAGCTTTTTACAGTAACACTAGATTTATGTAAGAAAGCTATCTCCAAGGGGTAATGATAACATTAAATCACTACTAGTTATTACCACTAAGCAATGAGATCGTACACGCACCAAAAACAGATAGAGTGGATTTAGGGTTAAACTGACGTTAGTAATAAAGTAGTTGTAAAGTTATCTCGGCTGAAGAAAGATGAACAATTAGGTGGGTTGGTCACTTTCTGGTTTGGTATCTTAGTGATGGTTTCTTGCCTTGTTTTGGAGCTTGTTTGGTAGAGAAACAACTGAAAGTGAGTGACAACCATGTTTTAAAGTAAAACTCTCTGTCATTGTTGATTATTTGACGTGTATATTTGTATTATGCTTATTGAGTACCTTGGTCACTCTTACCTATAAAGTCTACCGACTCGACAATAAAGTTTTACGATACGATCTTGTTGTCATAGTAAAGCGTTGTATTTGATACTGAATTAGGGTATTGTCTCTGATTGGTTAAAATTAAATAAATTCTGACTTTTTCACCTCGTATTCCAATTAGAAGGAAACAAGAAACAATGTCTATACAATATTACGTCCACCATTAGGCTTAGGCACAAACCTTTAGTCTAGATTTTGAGACCCTCGCATTTTGGTCTTGTCTCTTTCATTCAACCTCACGGAATGACATGCTCACTCATCAGGTCATATTGGCGAGTTTATTAAGCTAATGTCCCTAGCGCAGAATCACCAGGTCATATCGGCGCGTTTATTGAGCTAATGACCCTGGCGCAGGACAGTGTCGAGACGAAGTGAAATATTGAAGAATGTTTGGTGCGAGTACAAGATTGTAAAGTTTCTTGTTAAAAGTGGACGTGCCATTACCTGATTTTATGTTTTTGGGTTTCGCGAAAAGGTACTGGAGTTATTGGTGATTAGTTGGAGAATTCTGAACTGAGGGAGAGAGGGTGATATATGATGATAACTGAAATGGTGCAGTTTGACTTAAACGATATGCAGTGGCGGCGCTAGCACCAAAAATTTTGGGGGGCAAACAAGATATACATGTAATTCTAAAGGGACTCGTTATCCCTTAAAAAAAAGTATTTTAGCGTGCTAAATTACATTGAGCCAATGTTGGGTTCCAGAAAGTACTTTGTACTGAGTTTTGAATCCCCAAAGTATTCGCAGACCTTGGATAAGATCAGAAGGTTTTTGACCATTCTAGCATATATTACCTTTTTTTTCGGGGGGGGGGGGATAACAGGTCCCTTTAAAAGTGGATTGATGAATAATGTTCTCTCGAGCATTATTTAATTGAATAAATAATTACTTAGTGCAGTAGTACCATTAGTATAAAAAAGTAGGGTTACCTATTATTGTAGAATATATATAGTTGACTGAGAAGAAAAAACTGTAGTGCGCATGCGTATGTGATTTGTTCTTACACACATTACATTTGTCCTATATATGTAGGATTAAACTTTGGAGGGAGAGGGGGCAAACTGTGAGGGTAAGAAAAAATTTGGGTGGGCAAATGCCCCCCTGTAACTGTCCCCTTAACAATTTCTTTGAATAAGTGATCAAGTACAATAAACAAATAGATAACGCTGAGAACGCTAACCACGCATGCGTCATTAAAGAAATAATTGAATCTGAAATATTATAGGCTTGAAAGTTATTATGAATTATTAAAAAGTAAACAAAACAAACTAGGCCTATTCTTACAGTTAGTATAGTCGGTACTTTATAGGGTCGTAGAACACGCTTGTTAGGCTTAAACTTACATTGGTACTTTATAGGGTCGTAGAACATGCTTGTTAGGCTTAAACTTACATTGGTACTTTATAGGGTCGTAGAACACGCTTGTTAGGCTTAAACTTACATTGGTACTTTATAGGGTCGAAGAACATGCTTGTTAGGCGTAAACTTACTGGGCAAAGTCAGCGGCAAAAACATTGAACTGCAAAGTTTTGTGATTTATTTTTAGTTTTTACACTAGTGGTTAACGTTCCTGTTTTTGTTCTCAGACGTTTGCAAGTAAGATGTTTGGAGTTATGGCTTGGATCATGCCGATTTTTGTAGGATTATCAGTGTTTGGTGGCGTCAATGGCCTTCTCTTTACTTCAAGTAGGTAAGACGATTTTTAGAGCTGTAATAGTTTGTTAGTATCAAAAAACTCCTTTGATTTTTGGAAGTTAGCAGGATTGTATTAATTTTAATGAAAATATTTCAGTGCTGATATTTTCTACATTTGGGTAAACATCACTAGAACAGTTCGAACATAAGTTAAATAATACACATCTAGGAAAGAACACTTAAATGTTAGGACAGAATTTGTTAAATAACACGCATATCTAAGTTAGAAAACTTGAACGTTGCTATGTTGAGAAATGTTGCGTTCACTTGAACTGATATATTGTGTAAAAAATCATAAATAATATTCAACGTTAAACTGGTACATAATTAAAAACATTTTATTTAGGCCTATCTATGGCCTTCACTCC